CCCAAAGTTTCAGCCCCGTAGCTTTTGCCGGTCTCGAGATGAAAAATCAGTACAGAGGTCCAGCGCGCACACAGACACACACACACAGACAACCTCTCGTCAATATCCGTTTTTCGCACTGCATTGCTGCAAAAAAACGCATAAAAATGAATTCAGCGCCAAACCCGCTGCCAAAAAATGATGCAAACAATGGCAAAGAGAACAGCAGCAGGCCAAATTTTTGACGAGCCATTAGCCTTTTCAAAAGCCTGACGGATCAGAGGTTTCTAAGATGTTTTGACTGATAAGAAAAATAACGTTTGGAGAGCAGATGTGTGAGCAGCACCAGCTTGTACACCAACAGTTTTAACGTTCGTAGAAAGGGATCCAGACGGTGGAACCTGCAAAAAAAAAGAGGCAACCTAATGTGCAAGAAGAGTGTAGTGAGGGCAGTGAAAAGAATACCTGAGGCAGTGACGGAGCGGCAGCTGGAATGTTTATATCAGGAACGTATGAGACCAATGAGGTGAGATAATCGTATCGCTGGCAGTCAGACATTGTTCATTTAACATCAGTGATGTGGTAGCGGCATAAAATTGTAACTACAAAACCCATGGATTTCACAGTCCATCCCTCCGAAGAGCAGAAAGGCGCAAGTGATATGCTATTCTCCTCCTCAGACCATAGAACAGTAGCTGATCATTTTTTATCACTGTATATTAAAAAAAAAAAACTTCCCTATTTTTTTCTCCCACCACCCGTCCTTCATCCCCATATCTCACTGTGTAGGAAGTGCAGACAAATCGACGACCCGAGAATGACTGCTTTATCCGTCGCCGGATTTGAACAACTGGCCAACGCACGGGTTGCCCCTACTAAGATGCGTTTTCTGCATAGTTCCTCGCAGATTTTTGCCGCTAACGGCACTGTTTTCCCCGGCAGATGCTTCTAGCATCCCTTCAAAATTCCAGTCTTTTTGCTTCTCAGGTTCCCCAATTAGCAACTTACACGAAGAAATCTCCCACGGGCCCGTACGTGCGAATGACTCATACCCGGGGCTGGGTTTGAGCTCATTAATACCTACGTGAATGGGAAAAACTCCCTCAAAATCCCAATCTTCTAGCTTCTCAGGTTTCCGAGCTATCAACTTATCCGAAGAAAAATTTGGCGGACCCGTACATGAGTAACACGCATGTCCGGGGACTGGGTTCGAGCTCATTGAGACTTAGTTGAACGGGGAACAGCCCCTTAAAATTCCACCTTTCCAGCCTTTCTCGTTCTCGAGTTAGCGACTTACCCGCAAAAAGTTTTCAGAAGCCCGTACGTGAGTACCACGCGGGTAAAAGCGCCCATTTTGGGGAATGTGGCCTGTCCGTACATGTAGATTAAGTCCCCAAAGTTTCAGCCCTGTAGATTTTGTAGGTCTCGAGATGAAAAACCGTAACAGGCGTACATACAGACACACAATCCCTCGTCAATATGCGTTTTTTTGCATTGCATAGCTGCAAAAAACGTATAAAAAGCCCTAGGTACGGGATGCCTCGCAATAACAGCAGACATACCGGAGAGGGATATACTCATCATCGGAACAAATGCTATACGAGTACACAGTGGTGCATGCACAAAAAGCATATAATAACGAGTGCATCCCCTTTCCAATAACACTGTGGGCCACGCCAGAAAAGATTTTATTTCCACGATAAAAAAGATACTACATAATTGCTGCAAAAATTAAACTGGAAGAGTAGGACGAGGGATGAGGGGGCGGGTCCAATCAGTTTGAATTAAAAATGTCCAAAAGAGAAAAAGAGACCAGTGAATGACTAAGATAACCGAAATTATCCAGCCGGAAAAAGCGAAAACAAATAAGAAAGTGGTCGTAAGAGGAATACTTAAAAGAGAGAACATAATGCAAAAGATATATAGCACAGGATAAGACGGAACTTATTGCACAAGACGGGAAGGCCATCGGCACCTCCCACAACAAAACTCATCTGGCACGGCGACGGTAAACATTAAAAAGCAATGAGATCGGTGGGACAAAGGCAAAGCAGAGATCAGCACACAGTAGAAAGCCGAAGAGGCAGGATGGCCACGTAGGGAATAAAGCGCTGATCCTCGTTGTCCACACGCAGGTCGAGCTTTGAGCAACTGTTGCCGTCGCAAAAGCACCATGAAATAAAATAAATGAAACAATCTGTGGAATTAAAACGTGAAAATTCGTAAAATATACGAGAAAATTCGGAGGAAACTCGGGAATTAAAAAAGAGGAAATTCGGGGAGAACTCAAGAGTTAAAAAAGGGAGAATGCAGCAAGAAGGCATGATCGGTAAAACGGATTACGCGGTGAGGTCGCCTCTGCAACAACTTTTCATTGACGCCGTATCCACGCGCCAGTTGTACCACATTCATCATGAACTACGGCAGTGCACTGGTGCAGCTGAGACCTGACCGCCTTACACACAGTAAAATTTTCACAAGGAATCACTACAGTCAGTTATGCACAGGGCAATTATCAGTAATAAAGAAGGAGGAATGTGTCATCAAATAACAGAGGGCAGTTCCATGAAGCGCCGGCTGCTTCAGTAATCTTCGGATTCATCATCGTCTTCATAGGTTGGTGAACGAATGCTTGGCGCACTTGAATGCGCATTTGGACTCGGCGTAAGCTGTTGACACTGCATCGGCGAGTGACGTGGCGGCGATTCTGGTGTCCCACACACCCTCATCCCACGCATTCCCTGCAGCAGAAACACTCGTCCACATCAAAAAATACACGCATAT